TTAATCTAACAGGAATAAAGGACTTTGTGTCTATAGCTTAGTTTGTTGGCTGTCTCGTAGACACACAATCCTTCTATGTTAATCTAACAGGAATAAAGGACTTTGTGTCTATAGCTTAGTTTGTTGGCTGTCTCGTAGACACACAATCCTTCTATGTTAATCTAACAGGAATAAAGTACTTTGTGTCTATAGCTTAGTTAGGCTTACTTATTTCTTTTGAAATTAAATGAAATATCTTAAGGTTTGATTAAGGTTAGTGCCATATATTAGTGCCATATATTAGTGCCAAGAATAGCAGATATTCAGATTGAGCCTCATAAGACAAAGAGTATTGAACGTGTTAAGGATTTAACGCAGCAAATTTAACCCAAGTTGCGCGAGTACTTTACAAATGATATGAAACAAGAGTCAGAACCCAATATTGTCGAGCGTAATACTAATAAAAATAGACAAATGTGTTAGAGTTTTAAAGTGATGTTCCAAACCTAAGAAATACGGGAGTAATTATGCATTCCCCAATGGAAGCCATTTGATCGTTGTACGCGTTTTCAATCAAATTAGACGGAGATTTAAGATGAGCAGGAATAAAATGATCAACGAGGGTATAATTAACCCAGAAGGCAGAAAACAAATGAGTATTAGGAATGGACTTTTTAGCTCATTGCGTTTTCAATCGAATTAGACGGAGATTTAAGATGAGCAGGAATAAAATGATCAACGAGAGTATAATTAAGCCAGAAGGCAGAAAACAAGTGAGTATTAGGAATGGACTTTTTAACTCATTGCGTTTTCAATCGAATTAGACGGAGATTTAAGATGAGCAGGAATAAAATGATCAATGAGGGTATAATTAACCCAGAAGGCAGAAAACAAGTGAGTATTAGGAATGGACTTTTTAGCTCATTGCGTTTTCAATCGAATTAGACGGAGATTTAAGATGACAGGAATAAAATGATCAACGAGGGTATAATTAACCCAGAAGGCAGAAAACAAGTGAGTATTAGGAATGGACTTTTTAACTCATTGCCTTATTATTTATTCCTTAAAATTATGGCTTGTTTATATTATTTTTTGGGAGTAATGAACAACTCGTAATGCATAATACAAAATGTTTTATTTTATGTATGATTATGAGACAATAAACTTAAATAATGGTTCATATATATAAACTCAGATTGATTAACGACGGGTTAATCGAAAAAAATAAACCCCACAGAAGTCAGATGGTAAAAATTTAACGAATTTAGTGCGACTATAAATGTTTAAACTACTTACTGGACAATAAATGAAGAACCAAGTGGAAATGCTTAAGTTTATGTTGATTTAATAACGACTGTTTCATCAGTATAGATCATACAATAACATTGTGATAGAGCTGATAACATTTTTTTATAATAATGCACGATCTCACCTAACCTTTCCTTCAGCATCCTTGACACTAATAAAAAAAAACATTTATGTCAGGGATTTTTGTGTTTATGATTATGCGTGATCTTTCCACAACGTGGTTCTCATTCTCAGGGTCAACCATGACTTGCTCTTTTCATGAATACAGAACTTGAAACTTGTTTAATGAACATTTCCGTTAAGTATTTTAAATCCGAGGTATCGAATGAGTGGATTGTATGGTATTTAGGCCAACAACAACTTTGTTTTCAATCCACTTTTGACAAACCCTTTAATACGATCAGTAGGAACAGGAAGTCGTAAGAAATGGTGTCTAGTCCCACCAGGTGTAATTTATGCACCAGGACGACTGGTTGAGCGGTAATTTAAGAGAACTAATGTTGGTAAATATTAATGAACTTATGTCAATACTCAAAAATACAAAAAGGCTATAATAAACTCATGTTATAGACGCAAAGGCGTCATTGGACAACCTGCTGTGTCCATTGCGGGGAATCGAACCCCGTATTCTTGCGATGTACATCCGTAGACTTTGACTTTAAGCGTCCATAGTGACACAGCGGTATGTCTGCGGATTTACAACGCTAGATACCGGGTTTCGATACCCGTGGTGGGCAGAGCACTGATAGCCCATTGTGTAGCTTTGTGCTTAACTTCAAATCTAATCTTCTTTGATCTGACTTTATATTCTTCCTTGAATTTTCTCTCTTTTTTTTGCATTATTTTTTGCTTCTCTTTTCACACTTCCTATTTAATTGATATGATTTTAAGCCTAACTACATTTTTTCTTTACTTACGATTCACGTCCTGTTGTTGTAATTTCTCACTTTAGATTTTTATAGTTTTTATTTCTTGCTTTTCGTTTTCTTCTACTCCATTATAGCCTTTTGTTTTTTTTCGTAAATTCAAAACTTTGAAAAGACATATATACTAAACTCACGTATTATTATCTGAAAATTTAAAGAATAAAATCATTTTATCCAATGCCACAACTTTTGAAATAATTAAAATTTCTTCAGATGACTCTCTAAACCCACAGTTCACATCCTAGAAGTATAACAACTGATGTTTCATTGGTTTTTTGTTATTCTTATTCCAAACCGCCGTCAAAAAGGAATTGGGACCGGAACTTCATTTCTATATCTCTTAATCTAAAACAGGAAGTGACATCATATATACATATAACCTACTATTATTAAATGATAACTGTGGCGTATAGCTGCACCACTATTTGTCTGAAACAGGAAGCGATGTATCAGTTTCTATCTAACACTTACATCGCAAGTCATTCATATTAGCTAAAGTTCTGCTTCCAATCCTGTAACTTTCCATTAAATGTCTTCAATCATATTTGACGTTCTAGTTTGTCTATATATCACTGTTTTGTTTCTACAAACACTGATCGTATTTGTAAATAAATCTACTTGTCTGATAGCACCAGCAATTGCTCGTAATACAGGAGTAAGGAGTAAGATTAGAACCATCTTGAAGACAGTTGTTACCGGTACAGACTCATAAGTTAAGATTCACCAACAGTTGTTCTGAAGCAATCCTATTTAGGTAATATGGGTGAATCGTTGTCGAATAATGTTGATCAAAGCAATGCTGTTAATTGTCAATGGGTGAATCGTTGTCGAATAATGTTGATCACAACAATGCCGTTAATTGTCAGTAGGTGATTCGTTGTCGAATAATGCTGATCACAACAATGTTGTTAATTGTCAATGGGTGAATCGTTGTCGAATAATGTTGATCATAACAATGCCATTAATTGTCAATGGGTGAATCTTTGTCGAATAATGTTGATCACAACAATGCCGTTAATTGTCAGTAGGTGACTCGTTGTCGAATAATGCTGAACACAACAATGTTGTTAATTGTCAATGGGTGAATCGTTGTCGAATAATGTTGATCACAACAATGCCGTTAATTATCAATGGGTGAATCTTTGTCGAATAATGTTGACCACAACAATGCCGTTAATTGTCAGTAGGTGACTCGTTGTCGAATAATGTTGATCACAACAATGTTGTTAATTGTCAATGGGTGAATCGTTGTCGAATAATGTTGATCATAACAATGCTGTTAATTGATTGTTAATTTCTTAGTCATGCAGGTCAGAAAGCAATACACCCTTGGAAACTTATGTGTACACACACACCTATACAAGTATTATATACTTTTGCCGGTCCTCGCTGTGTTTTAATGAGGGCATCACTCGCCAAGAAGCGCGAGAAAATGCGTTCTGTTTTCACTATGCCCCTGACGTTCAGTTTTACAGAAGAGCTGTGATCTCGATTACATGTTCTGATTACATGTAAGTTATCCATTGAAGCGTTACTTGTTCGTAAATGAAACTGATGTAGTATGTTCGTGGATAGTAACGGCTGAAAGCACAATAGAGAAGGGT